TGAACTTGCGTATGTGGTTATCGCTCAGACTGAGAACTCACAAAGTAGGTTCAGACACACAAAGCCTGTCTTTGCAACATGCAAATTGTGCATATTTCTTAATTAGATTTTTGGAACGGTCCCTCAGGCACAGACCTCAATTTGGATTTCGGGGTGACAAGGTGTCTGGATCACTGATTAAAATTCCGCTAAAAAGAAGCAGGGATTTCCTTACAGTTAAGGAAGGATAACGGTGAGGGAGGTATGGTGGGATATTTGCATTTCCCTGGTGGAAGTTTTGTTTGCCTTTTATCTAAATGCAGTAGAAATTGCGTAGAACATGCCTGGGGAGGCGGTAGCAAGCTTTCTGAGTCAGAAATCCATATTTCCATCCTGACACCCATCCTACAGAATGCCAGGGGAAAGTATCTATTGTTGCCTTGGCACCATCCAGAGGTGGCTGGCTAACTGCCCCTCATCCCAAATCCCCCTCCCCGAGGAATCCAGACGACCCACACGGATTGACCTTCTTGAATACCTGGGCTGTTTCTGGACAGCCCGCTGTGTCCTGGACACTCATTCTGGCCAGAGGTTGGGTTTCAGTACCAGAGGCCACATAAATGCTAGCCCTCCGGGTCTTTCCCATCTGCCAATCCATCCAACTAGGGATTTCCTCCAGAAACCCACTGGCATCCAGAGTCACATTTCATGAGAGATTTGGATTTTAAAATGCACTGCTTCTTTAGACACGTTATATCCAGATCGGAAGAGTAGCCGCTGAGTGCAACAAAGCATATTAGAAGTATTTGTGCGCATATCCCACCTTGAGTTACCGTTCTTTTCCCAGTGCCTTGAACAAGAGGGTCTTAGACAGGAGAAAGGATACATCTTTGCTCCGTGTTTGTCTGGAATCTTCTAGGTGTTCGATTAGTGCTTCACCATAGTCGGGATGGATGAGCAAAACACATCACAGATACTACTTGTAATCAACGTATTATTGCTTAGAAAAATCCAGATGATAATTGATGCACACTGAGTGTTCTCTCCCGTTCTGTGTGTCCTTCTTTCATTTTTGCTTTCTGTGATTCCTGCTAGAAAATTTAGGTCATACTCCCCCAATCCCATCAATTTGAGGGGTGTACGTAACATAATTACCCCTAAAGATGCACAAAGCACGTGGGGGCCACTTTCTTGATCCACTCAGAGCAGATACATTGAAAGGAGTGTCCGTCCCTTGAAAATTCCCTTTTCAGCAATGGAGTTTAAACTTATGCTACCTTTATTTAAAAAAAAAAAAATGAAAGAAATGTATACATTTAGAAAGTTGTTTCTTAGGGATTTTGAGTCAGGGATGTACAGAGCTATATTTGTGTGCCCCCTAGTGGTTAAATTAATCTAATGACTGAAAGCATCACACGCTCAGTATAAAGCTTAGATTATTAGCTATTAAGGATGGCAGAAAGGAAAGAAATTTTTTATATATAAAATATTTTTAAAGCATTTTAGTTTCACAGCAAAATGAAAAGAAGGTACAGCCTCCACGATACCAACTTAGAAAATAGACATTTTTAAGTTGCTATATATCTAGAGAGGATTTTGTTTTATTTTGTCTTATTTTTTTAAAAGATTTATTTGTTTATTTTAGAGAGAGAAAGAAAGAGCACGAGCAGGGGGAGGGGCAGAGGGAGAGGGAGAGAGAGTCTTTAGCACACTCCCTGCTGAGCAGGGAGCCAAACCTGGGGCTCGATCCCAGGACCCCGAGATCATGACCTGAGCCAAAATGAAGACGAGTCAGACGTTTAACCGACTGAGTCACCCAGGCGCCTCTGTAGAGAGAATTTTATGATCTACAACTCCATTTTGAGACAATGGTTAATCCACGGCCGTTTTGACAAACGGCCAAGGCATGCACCACTTTGATTTACGACATACTTTACATTTTAAAGATTTTATTTATTTGAGAGAGAGAGTGCACGTGAGCAGGGAGAGGGGCAGAGGGAGAGGGAGAAGCAGACTCCCTCCCTGCTAAGCAGAGAGCTCAACACGGGGCTCCATCCCAGGACCCTGAGATCATGACCTGAGCTGAAGGCAGATGCTTAACCAACTGAGCCACCCAGGTGCCTCAAGACTCAGAAATATTCAAATATTCAAATCTTCTCATTTGACCATATTTGACAGAAAAAAAAATATTTTTAAAGCAACTTTTGGAATGATTTCTCCTATTTAACAAAAGGTAGTGCTAATATTTTTTAAAGCAACTTTTGGAATGATTTGTCCTATTTAACAAAAGGTAGTGCTAATATTTTTTAAAGCAACTTTTGGAATGATTTGTCCTACTTAACAAAAGGTAGTGTTAATCCTTCAACTCTTATTTAGACATAAAATGTGAGGGTTGTAATATTGCAATCCAAAGACCATAAAGTTATTGATATGTTTCTAATACCCCAATATGGTGTATACCCTTAAACTTTACAGGTGTCCCTCGGAGATATTGCTGGTTTGGTTCCAGACCGCCTCAATAAAGCTGGTGTTGGAATAAAGCGAGTCAAATGAATTTTTTTGTGTTTTGCTTGTTCGTTTTGTTTTCTTGGTGCATTTAGAAGTTATGTTTACACAATACTGTAAGGCAGATGCTTAACCGACTGAGCCACCCAGGCACCCCAGACAGACCTCATACTTTAACTCAAAAATTTAAAGGTATCTTCAAAACAGCTCTTGGAAAAGCGAATACTTATCTAGTGTTCTGTATGGGGCCATGTGCTAAGTCTTTTATAGAAATTATCTCCACGAATCTTCACAAAAGTGCTGTGATGGAGATCCAGTTGTTACTGGCATTTTGCCGATGGAACCACTAAAGCAGGAAGTAGCCCAAAGGCACCTGCCTGGTGTCACTCGATACTCATTAAGTATGTACCGGTGCCAGATCAGAAACCGTACTAAGTGTTTTAATCCCCATGAAAACACTATGCTTACCACTGACTTAAACTGGTGAAACTCACGCTCAAACCTAAACCCCCTCCTCTTACGTTACGCTATAAAGAAACAAACAGAATGAACCAGCCGTCGTAAGAGAGGATCTATTTGTAAACCATCAGTTGCTGCCCTTGTGCCCTTGGCTCTGAGTGGGCAAGGGTTGTCTAAAGTCACTTGTAAGGCCTCCTGGGCTGGAAGTCATAGTTGACCTGGTGATGAAGAGGCTGTGGAATCCAGCTGACTGGGATCAAATTTTGGTTCTATCACTTGCTAGCTCTGTGACTGTGAACAAGTTTCTTAATCCCTCTGAGCCTCAGTTTCCTTATCTGTAAAACAAGATTATCCACAGCCTTGTATGGCTTTGTGGGGTAGGTAAAAGCATCAGTTCTGGAGCCAAACTGCTCAGGTTTGAATCCTAACTTGTGAGTAACTGTGTGACTGGAGATAAATTACTGAATCCTAAAAAAAAAAAAAAAAAAAAAAAAGAGCAAGCGCACTTGCTCTCCATGGTGCCCAGTGGAAAGTGTGTCCTCAGCTGGACATGGCTTGCTTTTTCCTACAGACATCAGGGCAATGTGTGACTTGGGAACATGGAAGGGACACAGCTAGGATATAACAGGACTCCTGAATCCAGGGGTCACCAACCTGCAGTCTCGAGCAGGTCATCCTGCTCATGCTCCTATGTGGCCTTGGTCAATCCCCTTCATCATGGCACACTCTATCTCCTTCACCCATAAAATAAGGGGCGTTGGTGAGAAAGTCTCAGAAGATCTTTCTCAGGTTAAAATTCTCAGGTTATCTTCTGTGACATCCTAAATTCAAAATGAAATGTCTCATAAGATGGATCATCAAATAAGGATGTGTTGGAAACTGTAGGAAAATGAGTGGTGGAGACATGAATCAGCCTTTTTGTAAATAATCCTCTTATGGATGAATAAGGTCCAAGATGGCTACCTGGGATCACTTAGGAGAAAAACAAAATCCTTGTTCAATATCCAATATAAATACGGTCATTTGTGTTCAAGAGTTATGCATGGGGACTTGGTAGGGTGGTCAGGGGTCTGATATTAGTCCAACAACACAAGCCGTGTTCTGCTGAGCAAGTTACGGAACAATTACAGATAGTTTATTGGTTATGTAGGAGTGTTGTGGATTGAATGGTCTCCCCCGAAAGCATATGTTGATGTCCTAAACCCTATTACCTGTGAACGTTTCCTTATTTGGAAATAGGATCTTTGCAGTTGTTAGGATGACGTCCTACTAATATAATGACAGGTGTCCTTTTAAAGGGAGGGAAATTTGGGGGTGGGCTCACAGAAAGGGAAGAAGGTCCCAAGAAGTTGGAGACAGGGACAGAACTGGTATATCCACAAGTCAAGGGACACCAAGCATTGCTGGCCACCACCAGGAGTTGGGACAGATCCAAGCAGCGAAGGATTCTACCCAGACTTTCAGAGGAAGCACGGTCCTGCCCATGCTTTGATTTTGGATTTCTGGCTTCCAGCACTGAGAGAGAACAAATCTCTGTGTTTGGAGCCACCATGCTTGTGGCGATCTGTGAAGGCAGCCCTAGCAAACTCAGGCAAGGAGTCATACGTACATCATGGTGATGCAGGAAGAAGGAAAGAAGATCAGAAAAAGGTATCCCTCGATATTTCATGTTTTGTGATGCTGTAGCAAATGGTATTTTTAAAAAATGTAACTCCCGGTTGTTCATTGCTAAGATACAGAAATAAAATTCTATACTGGTGACCTTACCAAACTTAATTAGTTGCATAGATTTTTAAGGGATTATCAACACAGGCAATCATTGTGTCAGAGCTCTGGCCCATCTTCAGGGGAAAATCCACACAGGGATCCCTCCCAGGCTTTTGATGTCCTACTCTCAACTCAGTTTCTGTGGATGAAAATAAATCCTTTTGGTCTGCTTAACGGCTACTTTAGACTACTTCCTTTCAATGCGCTATGATTTCATCCATTGTTATTTGTCAACTATTCAATTATCCAGATTGCAATTATTTCAATTATTCAGTGCGAATTCAATCATAATTTCAATTATGATGCTTTAATGGTTGGCATGTTCCCTTTCCCAAGCAACGAGTTGGATATACACAGGACCTTACATGGAGAGTTTGCTTTGGAGAGCAGCAGAGCCGATGGGGCCAAAGGATGTGAATGCTTGTTTTCTAGCACCAAAAGACATGTTTAGATACATACTTATCACCAAGAGCAGAAAAGAAGTTAACAGACACCATCACAACCAATGGGCATTCAGTAATCTGGAGCGGTAGACAAATCCATTGCCTCTCCAATTCCTTCCTTGAAATTTTGCAGGTGCCAACATCAGCTGATGTTGGCTGCCTGACCTCAATTGTTGCTTCTCCTTACGCCTCCACAGCTGAGGTGCTCCGCTCCGTGTCACACAGACAGAACGGGAACACACCACAGCAAGGCTTCAGCCACGGGTTGTCGTAATTCAATTCCGTCAACTGTTGCTGGACAGGAAGGATGCTTTTCTTGTGTTCCTTCACGGCGTTGGCCACCGTTTGGATCACTACATCAAACAAGGGCTCCGTGTCCTGCGTCAGAGGTGTGGACTCAGAGGGGTCCCTGGTGATGTCGAAGAGCAAAGGAGGGTCATGGTAGGTGACCAGGTTGCCCGAACATCGGCAATAGAGAGTCTCATAGCAGGCTCCAGCTCCCGGTGGCTGGAATACGGGTGTCACGTAATGAACCTTCCACACTGTCTCACCTGGACCAGAAAAGACATGTCAGAGACATCCAACCCCTGTGCCAACTGACCTTGTGCTCAGAAGAAGTTCAGAAGAGCTTGTGCTCTTCTACCTTCTCAAGCATTTGTCCTGGCCTTTCTCTTTGCCCACGAGTTAATGCTCTATATCATTCAATCTTTAGAACAATACTAAGAAATCAGAATCATGTAGTACAACTTGACATTTGGAAGCATCCATTCGTTCTGCTTCTCAACATGCATATTTCTTCAAGACATCCCCCCACCTTTCTAAAGAGAGTGGTTCTCGGGAAGTTTTCCAAGAAGGTATTTTCAGTGGTCACCCCAGAATAAAAAGACTGGTCTGGGGGTGAGGGGGAGGGAGAAAGGAACAAAGTGTTGGACTTGAGCGTGGACTTGAGCGACCGTGACCTTGGCATCCGCAGGTACTCACTGTCCTTGGGGTGCCAGCGCACAGCGTGGAGAAACGCGCCACAGTAATGGAACAGGAACTCGTGCTCCGAGCGCTGCACTTCACCCTGAAGCAAGGGCATGAGGTTCCGGCCATCAATCACCCTGCAGACACACACAAAACGCATCAGGTGAGGGAGGTGGGCCAGCGAGCTGTTGGAGGGATGCTCCGTGCATTCCATGACATTTCCTGGACCCAGAGCACAGTGTGCTGACTGTTCCAGAAATCCATGCACACTGTCAGGAACATTACATTCTCATGCGAAAGACAGGGAAAAACAAACAAACAAACAAACAAACTCTAAGCTTTTGCAGTGAAATGACAAGACAGAGGAATGCATCAATGTGTGTCCATCTAAAGAGCACTTGGGTCCCTGGCCACAGAAGTTCTCAAAAGCTCAGTGTTCCTGATGACTTCACAAATCAAAATTTCATCTGCAGTTGCCTTGCTACCCTGAAACGTGATCTTGTAGAACCTCTTAGGGGCGTTTGGGTGGCTCAGTCGTTTAAGTGTCTGACTCTTGATTTCAGCTCAGGTCATGATCTCAGGGTTGTGAGATCAAGCCCTGCGTCAGGTTCCGGGCTCAGCATGGAATCTGCTTGAGGTTGTCTCTCTCCTTTGGTCCCTCCCACTCTTTTGTGTGCTCTCTATAAATAAATAAATAAAATCTTTAAAAAAAAAATGAACCTCTAAAAATCTGATGCTTTTTAACTTATATTAGAAAACAGATCTTCTCCCTCATGTTAGAAAAAAATAAAACCTACCTTGTAATAAAAAATACAATAATAGGTGTCACATCATCCTAAAAATGATAGTAAAAGAAATAACATTGTCTTTATTCTCAGATACAATGATTGCCTGTGTTGATAATCCCTTAAAAATCTATGCAACTAATTAAGTTTGGTAAGGTCACCAGTATAGAATTTTATTTCTGTATCTTAGCAATGAACAACCGGGAGTTACATTTTTTAAAAATACCATTTACTACAGCATCACAAAACATGAAATATCGAGGGATACCTTTTTCTAATACTAAAATTTTGTGTGCTGACGCCACAAAACATCCAATAAGAGAACTGAAAGGAGAGAGAAACAATGTTCATAGATTGGAAGACTCAACATTGTTAAGATCTTGATTTTCAACAAGGCGACCTATAGATTCAATGTAATCTCAGCCAAAATCCCAGACGGCTTTTTTGTACAAAGTGAGAAATGTATTCTAAAACTGACATGGGAGAACAATCTGGAATAGCTTAAATAATTTTGAAAAAGAAGAAAGTAGTTTGAGGATTCAACTAAATAATTCCAAAATTTACCAAAATTTAGCAAGGGTAATCAAGCCAGTGTAGTGTGGTCATAAGGGTGCGCATAGGAATCAGTGAAACAAGAGAGTCCAAGAAACAGACTAATGCATATACCAAGCAATTGATTTTCAACAAATGTCCAAGGTAATCCAGTGGAGGAAGGAGAGTCTTTCCTTAAATGGCACTAGAACAACTGAATATCTAAATGCAAGAAAAATAAAGCTCAACCCATACCTCACACTACATAAAAAAGTAACTCAATACGGACCATAAGCCTAAATGTAAAACCTGAAACTAAAGAAACCACCAGAAGAAATCATAGAGGAAAATCTGTGTGTGACCTTTGAGTAGAAAAATGTTTTTTAAAAATATTACAAAAATCACAATCTATAAAAGAAAAAAAGTGAATTGACCCTTATCAAAACTGAAAATGTCTGCTTTTCAGATAATAATGTAAGAGAATGAAGGCGAGCCAGAGATTGGAAGATACGATTGACAAAACACAGATCTGATAAGGAACTTGTGTTCACAATATGTAAAGAACTCTTACAATTCAACAATAAGAAAATAAAATTCCCAATGTAAAAATAATTACGGACAGATGATTTGACTAGACAATTCACAAAGAAGGGACATGGATGGCCCGTACACGGAGAGATGTTCAACATCATTCGTCACGAGGGAAACACGTTCTAACACCACTATGAGATTTGCCTACAAGGTTACTATAATGGAAGATGGAAGAGTGACCATACCAAGTGTGACCAAAGATGTGGAGCAACTAGAAACCTTACACGTCGCTGGTGGGAATGCCAGATGGGGCAGCCGTTTTGAAAGTCAATCCAAGTTTCTCATAAAAATATATCAACAGTATATCAACACATATTGATAAAATGACCCAGATTTACCACTCTTGGGCATTTACTGCAAAGAAATAAAGCATTGATGTCTACACAAAGACCTCTATGAAAATGTCCAATGCAACTTTGATCATAAGAACCAAGTTTCCTTTTAGAATCTCATGGAGTCCTTCACCTCGGTTGTCCATTAAAGAATAAAAAAAAAATATGGGGAATAAAGATAGGACATTTTTAGAGTTAATTCTGAAAAAAATAAAAACCAGATCAATTCTATGAAAGAAAATGCTAATCAGAGCTCAGAGGACAATATTTCTTGAGATCATAATTCTGCATAACCTTTTGTGAGTCCAATATATAAAGTATAGTAATGTCCCAAAGTCAGTGAACCCCACTGATAGACTGGAAAGTTATTTTTATGACTATGATTGGCTCAGTTTTAAAAAAAGTAGATTTCCACTAATATTACTATTTTTTAATAGGTCATTTAGCTGAAATTGATAAATACACTTCTTAGTAGAGGGGATTTGCATTCTGTTGTTATTTTGTATAAATTCTCAATAAATCCTATGATTTGCTAAAAAGAAGGTAAGAAGAAAAAACAGTGAGGAGGTCTTTCTTTGTCGCTGTTTCTGATTTGCTTCAGGATGCATTCTATTTTGCTTCAGAAAGAGATGAGGTCCCTTGCATGAAGAAGGACACATTGGAATCTGTCTTTGGACTTACAAGGGACATGTGGCAGTGGGTTGGAGCCGCTGGAATAAGCTTATGAAGAAGTCACCCGCAAGCCTGCCTTGGTCATTTGCTCCCAGGGAGTGGCGCCATGCGATATGAAGGCTCTCCTCTTGCTCAAATTCAAAATAGTCACAACAGAGTTCTAAGGACCCATGGAATGCCTTACCTTCACATCTGCCTTCTGGATCTTGCACAATAGAGTGCAGCAAATCGTTTCTTCTCTTGCATGAGTGTTTTGCCCACCACAACTTCATCTCCAAACTCCCTCTGTCCATTTTCCTCCCCAGAGAAGGCCATCCAGTGTCTGGGATGTGCCATAGTCATTTAAGACTGTTGTCTGCCACACCAATAACGCTCAGTAGACCTAGCCAGAGATGAAACTAAACTTCCCTAGGTACTGGGGACAACGTCCAACCCGTTAAGATAGACTTTGTTGCCTCTGTCCCGAATGCTTTGAGAACAAAGATGATGTGAATGGAGGGTGTGACATCACCTGTCCTGAGGGACCATGCCTCCCGACATAGCCGCTAGCGTGGGGAACACGTCCATTAAACTTGTAGGTTCCTCAATCATTTTCCCAGCTGGCAATCTTCCCGGCCAGCGGATAAGTCCTGGAACACGGATTCCACCTTCCCAGCCGGCCATGCCTTTCCCACCTATAAGGTGAGGTAACAGAGTGCCAGTTAAAATGGTCACGGTAGCAAGACTGCATAGAAATGTAAGTGAGTATCAATGCAGACCATGTGCTCAGAGCCCACCCCATACAGAGTCCTGCAGAACATGTCCGTGGATTTATGTTTCCCTGGGCTGCTGATAGGTTTTTAATTGACTAACCAATCGTATTCTGTATGCAACATTTGTACAGGCTATTTTGTCTGCCTACAACACTGTTACCCCACAAATACACCTGCTACGTCCCCAGCCGCCTTCATACGTTTGCTCAAAGGTACTTTCTCGGTGGCAAACTTCCTTTAAAACGACAGTCCCCCCGTCCACCCCAGAAGTTTTTCTGCTCTTCTTTTCTTTTTTTGGAGATTTTTACTATCCTCTAACATACCATAGAATTTATATATTCTCTTTTTCCTGGTGTGCCTCCCTCCGCTAAAATGTAAGTTCCATGAAGGCACTGATTCTTTGGTTTTGTTCCCTACTGAATCCAGCACCCTGAAAACAAACTGAATAGAATAGTATAGGTATATGCTAATTTATTACCCCAAACCAGGGTATTATAGAGCATGTACCCAGGAGGCAACAATGACCCTAAGACAAGAGTTATAAACTAGGGTTCCCTTGAGTGAACCAGGAGGAAAGGCCATTCTATGGTCTTAATGGAGTTTTATTAGTTCATTAAATTACTTAAAGTAGAGTTTCAATCACAGCACATGGAGAAATGGAGATTTTTAAAAAGATGTCTTCCTAGGTAAAAATAGAGTTCAATAAGAACACTTTCCCTTATAGGATTTATTTGCTTTCCTAAGTATGCACTTTACTTGTAGAAGCCCTAAAAAAGCAGACATCCATGCCCTGTGGCCAGACTGAGGCAGAGACTATCCCATTCATGCAACAATCATTATTTCCTACTGAATCTGTATTATCATTATTCATGCAAATCTAGGCTAGGTTGTTTTGCATTCAGTGGCAAAACATGAATATTATATTTTCCTCTGGAAAAAGCTTTGACATGTCTTCCAATAGATAGGATAGCATGCACTGAACATTTTCCAGATAATTTTCTTACCACATCAAGGCGCATACTATGGACCAGGCCAATGTGGTGGCTAACGGAACACGTTTTCATGCACTAACTGCCCTGCCTGGACATGGGGCTGGTATCTGTGCATTTAATTATAAAACCAGACAGAGGCTTGCTACTTTGTGTGCTAAGCCATATCCTCACAAGAGAGCACCCAAGCTTCCTTAATCATCAAAGACCCTCTGGGTTTCATGCTCTGTACTCTGCCTACCACACTGAATCTTCTATCAACAGCCTTGTACATGGAATCAGTGAGTAGGTAGATATTCAACTCAAAAGCATGTGGTTAAGTTGATGCTTTATCATCTCGCAGGGTGGCCATGGAGGCAGATTTCTAGATGCACCTTCAGCAGAAGGGCTAGCCTCCCCCATAATGTATCATTGGTTACTCACTCCACTTTATTTTACCCAGAGTCAAATAAAATGCACTTGTTCACTTTTTCACGGGTTCGTCTGTTCACTTCATGGATGCCCATTATCATGAACATGGGAGAATTTATTCACAACCATACCCCACTCCCGATTCCCACTCCTCACCTTTGTATATTCCGTTCCACCCGCCACGCTGGGAATGGCCCACCCGTGCCTCCAAATGCCCCCCGTGGTCTGATGTAAAGTAGACAAGCGTGTGGTTCCTCAGACCAAAATCATCGATGGCACCGAGAATCTTGCCTGAAATAGTAAAAAAAGGGACACATATCATGAATGTCATCATGAGCTTTGGGTTATAACGCCAGTCCGACTTGCGGTGCATTTCACTACAAAACTCTTTCTCATCCACGAAGCACCTGCTTCCGGTGGGTGGTGTGTGAGCTCAAGAATAGCCACGTTTTCTGAATTCCTCATCAGTGCCTCATGTTGGACAGATGATTATATTAAATTAGGAGTGAAAATGGATTCATTCTTTACAATTTTACTAGTGTTCATTGTTACACTACTATTGCCTAAAAGTCATTTATTTTTTATTATGTCTTATTATTGGGACACCAACATTTATACTTTTAACTTATAAGTTATATTGAGCTTTTGCTTATTTTTCTTTTGGGGGTTTCACTGTTTCTGTTCTCGATTTATACAGACTCCTTTATTAACGAATGAAAGCATGTTACATCGTTGCTAAAAGTTCCTCTGCAAGGAGCATCAGGTGAGCTGTTCATGACGCACACTTGTGGTATTTCAGGAAGTTTCGAGGTCTCTGCCTCTCTTGTGACTTCAATGTGTTCTAGCAGCTCTGCGCTCACGTGGTCTCCTCATCCGTGTATGCATCTGGGCCTTCACAAGGCAGACGGGTCTTCTGTGGTATGCCTGTGTTCATGCTTCTTGTCTTCTTGCATGCAAACTTGTCCCATGGCATTAGGACCCACCCTAATGACCTCACCGTAACCTGATCCCATCTGCAAAGGCCCTATTTCCAAATACTGGCACATTCACAGATTCCAGGAGTTAGGACGTGGACCTTTCTTTTGGGGGACACAATGAAACCCCCAACACCGACTTTGCCCAAGATATTTCAACCCTGCCACTCTGAGTTAATTTCCTCCCTGCTGCGTTCTCCTCACTGGACGGTCTCCATGGCCACCTGTTTCTGCTTCCCTGATCTGAAAGTCAAACCTTCTGCATGTAGTTTAGTGTTTTAAGTTCTATTTTTTTTTTTTAGATTTTATTTATTTATTTGACAGTGAGAAGAGAGGGCACCAACAGGGGGAGCGGTAGACAGAGAAGGAGAAACAGGCTCCCCTCTGAGCAGGGAGCCCAACACGAGGCTTGATCCCAGGATCCTGGGATCATGACCTGAGCTGAAGGCAGATGCCTAACCGACTGAACCACCCAGGCGTCCCTTAAATTCTATTCTTGATAACTCTTTCTTTGCAACCACGCAAGTGCATCTTGATCCTTTCTCTTAACTGGACTCCCATCCGATGTCATTGGGCAGTTTCGTTTCTTATCACTTTGTTCCCATCTGTGTACTTCATCATCATCTTGGTAAGGTGGGCTCCCCAGGTAAGAGTAATGGATACTTTCATTAGAATCACATTAAGCCTCGATATTAATTTTGGAATCCCTAATATTTTATGAGTCACCGTTCCCATCCAGAATCTGGTGTATTTCTATTTACTGAAGTCTTCTCTAAGGACTCAGTTGTGTTCTATGTGATCACTTACTTTTTGAACATATTTCTATATATTGATTGTTGATATTGGAGCTGCTATGAATAATACCCTATCACCTATTGTATCTTGAAATGGGTTATTTTTAACATAAAGAAAAAGTATTACTTTTGGTATATATTTCTAACAGAGAAACATTGTAGGACATATATGTTTGTGCATATATATTAAGCTATATATATATATATATAAGCATAATAAACTAATTATAACATTACACTAATTCCATACTAGGAGCATACTGCATAATTATATCAATAACATGTATTATCTCAATGCCTATATTATTATTTATATTATTGCTATAGTATATACTAATATAGCATGCCCTGTAACCTTGAGCAAGCCCCCAATATCTTGTGCCCTTGTTCCCTCATCTGCCAAGAGGGATAACAATGCTGAGTATGGTCCCCATCTCCTAGAATGTTTATGGGGATCCCTCCAGAACACACTTGCATGCCCCATGCATCAGAGGGTTCGTTCAATCAATAGATCCCACTGTTTAACAGTTAAAAGGGCACTTTAACAAATGCATCAGTATGATATCCCAATCAGGAATCAATAAAACTTTCTAACAAGGAGAGCAGCAATTTCCAAGACTTGGGGTTTTGTTTTAGCTTCCAAGGTGGATATTTTGGAGAAAAATAAACGTTTTAGTATTTCTGAAATTATACATTGAAACAGATGATCATTCTTCCTGAAAGCTCAGTTCCAACTGGACAGACAACACATTCACAGCCCATAGGTACCAAAGGTCTGTGAACCTCAGGGACACTCTTTCAAAATATGGCTTTCAAATACCCTGGCTTTTCCGCAAATATTCAGCACATCCATGGATAGCTGTGTCATTACTGAACAGCACGGAAAAAATCCCATGGAGATCAAACCGCACCCAAAGCCCCTTATTTGGTGTCTTAATGCCACATCGTCTGTTTTATTAGCTTAGATATTTTGAAAACCTTGTCTTGATTTAAAATTTTAAAGCAAATAGAATTTGGTTTTATTCTTTGTTTGCCTGTTTTTAGTGATCACACCCGCTACACACACCGCACACCCAGACACACACACACATAATGCCCTCTTAAGTATAGACATATGTGCCTATGTTTCATTAAATAGTATTTATATTTAAAATAATTTTTAGAGGTGCCTAGGTGGCTCAGTCAGTTAAGCATCTGCCTTCGGCTCAGGTCATGATCTCGGGGTCCTAGGGTCAAGCCTGGCATTGGGCTCTCTGCTTAGCGGGGAGTCTGCTTCTTCCTCCCACTGGTCTCCCTCTCTCTTTCCCCTTCTCAATAAATAAAGTCTTTAGAAAATAAAAAAAAATATTTTGAAATGTTTTCTATATCTTTAAGACTGCAAATTGACAATATTTTATTGGCTTCCCTTTGGTCAGGACTGAATTCTTTTTTTAATAAAGATTTTATTTATTTATTTATTTATTTATTTATTTATTTATTTATGAAAGAGAGAGAGAGTGCAGGGGGAAGAGCAGAGGGAGAGGGAGAAGCAGATTTTGCATTGAGCACACAGCCCAAGGCAGGGCTTGATCCCAGGATCTCGAGATCATGACCTGAGCCGAAACCAAGAGTCAGGCATGCAACCTATTGAGCCAGCCGGTGCCCTGGTCAGACTGGATTTCTAAAGCCTCTCTCTGCTTACTAAAATCCATTCCATGACAACATCCTACGTTTGGAGATGATTGTAACCCAAAGCTTCTGTCCTGCCAACACACAAGGCCAGCATCATGTGCTTTGCTGTCTTCCTTCTCAGAAAACTTGAGTCTGATTTGCTAATATACGTATCATGGAAACTCGGGGACTCACAGGGACAAGGCAAGCACTGAGTGTGGTTTTGTGCTGACTTTGTCGCAGGCTTCCACCTGCTGCTTCATTGAGGCTGCCTGGGGCGGGGAGGCATGTGTCTGGACGTCCTGAACTATTAAAGCACAGACTTCTGGTCTCCGTAGGTCCCGCCACTTACCAACCATGGAGTCCATCTCCTGCACGTTGTCCCCATATAAACCATACTTGCTGGTCCCGATGAACTCAGTCGTCGTGGGGAGCGGCACATGTACATGCAGAAAGGAGAACACAAGGAGGAAAGGTCCTTCGCGGTGCCTGGGGAGACATCAATCATTCCGCTTATGAGTCTGCAAAGTCTGCGAAAGGGAACCACACCATTTTTTGTCACACAGACCCAGTGTCCACTCATTATCTGCGTGCCCCAGGAGAGGGGATGAAAGCATGAGACAGCCCCTTGGAGAGAACATCCTGGCTGGGGTGGATGCCAACATCCTCCAACATCTGGACCGCTCCCCAGGACATGTGTGGGATGGCTCAATTCTTGAGTGGCCCCGCCTGGCACAACGCAGCTCACAAGCCCATTCAGCTCTGCTTGGCACACTTTTCTCATGGCTGATAAAGTCTCAGGCCGGAATCACACCAAGGGATGGTGGCTCAGGAGTGGTTTCTTAGAAACGCCAACTCTTTCACAACTCCCAAGCAAGCATGGACAGAACAATCTGGGCAAGCTGTCTGCATACCTTCAGGTCTCCTGGGAGGACACAGGAAATGAGGTTGACCCATTTCAAGCCCTGACAAGGTAGGTCATCAGCTAACTAGGGCAGCACACAGCACAAATGCCACTCTTAGGGAAATTTCTTCTCTGATGACATATGAAAAAAAGTTGGGTCATGGTGAGCTGGGTTTAATGGCATCCCTTCAAAACTGGTGCCTACCTCGAGGCTCAGAATGTGATCTCATTTAAGAATGGGGTCTTTGGAGATGCAATTAGTGGAGAGGAGGTCATCTTGGTGTAGGGTGGGGCCAGAACCCAAGAACCGGTGTCCTTAAAAGAAAAGGATGGTCTGCACGCGGTACTGAGGATTGAGATTATATGGATGTTGCTTAATGTTGCAAAAGGAAATTTGCAGATGGGATTAGGTTCAGGATCTTGAGATGGGGAGATAATCCTGGATTATCTGGTTGTGGACCCAATGCAATCACAAGGGTCCTTGTAAGAGGGACCCCAACACAGTAAAAATCAGGCAAAAAATAGTGTGGATAGGAGGTAACAGAAGCAGTGATGCAGCCAGACAGCTATATATCAAGGAAACCCTGCAGCCCTTCCAACCTGGGACAAGAAATGGACTCTTCCTTAGAGCCTCCAGAATGAGCTAGTCCTGCCAATGCCTCGCTTTTAGCCCTGTAAGATGAGATTCAGATTCCTGACTTCCAGCACAGTAAAATAATAAACTTGTGTTGCTTTAAGCCACTCCCACTTGCAGAAATCTGTTCTAGCAGCCACAGGAAACTCACACACCAAGAATCCAGATAAAAGCAATTTCTAACATCCATGAACCTAAGCCACTTGCTCCTGGCCACATCACTAATCAATGGAGTAGCTTCCAAATCTTCGGAGTCCCTCTTCACTTTCCACATGGTGCCACTGTGGATCATATAGACATATAGACACCAACACAGGTTTTGGTGATGGAAGCACATTTTCACACCCCAGCATTTGTTCTTGATGTACTAATGTAAACAGTAAGCAACAACATGTGCAGGTGTCTTCAGACACATTTTAATGTGTCCTTTTGCAAAGAATCTGCACCTCTGTACATATGGAAGTTTCCAGGAAATGAGTTTGCCCTAAAAGAAACCAGCCATTCCATTGCATCTACAAGGCAAAGGTGGTTTAATCTCTCTCAGAGTCTAAATTTGTATTGTGCCCACCTTGGCTATAAGGTAAAGACAAAGCTAGCTACAGATTGCCCAAGATCCTTTGCACCACTAAACAACTCTACTTGCCCGTCAAACACACCAGCTTACAGATCCCTACCGCCAGGATGATCTCATCCTCACAAATTCCACCTCTGAAGACCCTATTCCCAAATAAGATCACTTTCTGAGCTTCCAGGTGGACATGAATTTCGGAAGGATGCCATTTAACCCAGCTCACCATGGTACAACTTTTTAAAAAAAATTCTTTTTTTCCCATTCTTTTCATTTTGATATCTCATCAGAGCAGAAATTTTTCAGAGTGGCATTTGCATTATCTGCTGTCCTCATTAGCTGAGGACCTATCTGCCTTGTGCTTGAGTTTCATGCAGTAATGCCTGGTACCCGTTCTTCATCTTGTTCTTGCTCACCTTTGAAGATTCAGTTAATGTGTGTTCTCAAGTATGGCTTCCCTGATATCTTGGAAAGTCTCTACAGTTTGGACTGATAGCACCTGGATTTATGCCCATTAGCTTATTTCTTATCATGGGCTTGTACATCTGTTGTCATTACTAACTGTGAACTTGTCTTTGAAGTCCAGACCCCAGGATGGTGATTGGTAAAGCTAAAGCCTTGGGCAATGTTGAAACAGTGAGTAAAAAATGTGTTCACAGCCTCTTAAAAAAATGCAACAACTGGAGGCCCATAAATGTGACTCCTCTGGAGAGTTTCCAGCAATTATGTTCTGGATGCATTGGGCTTTATAATTATCACCACTGATCTCAGCCGAACAATATCACTTACATACCTCATGCTTAACGATAAGCCCTCTGATTTTGATTTCTCAAAGAAGTTTCTTTCCTAGTAGGAAAACAGTGCAGTGGTCAACTTATTCTACTATCTAGTTTCCTGGAAAATACATTTCCCATTGTGCATCAATAGGCAGACAGTATGCACATAAATGCATATGCATATGCAATATAAATTAACAAGCTGGATTTGTAATTTTGAGTCTAGTGTGAGTCTACCTGCTTGGTCTGACCAAATATGAATTTCAAGACCAATGGAGAAATTGTGATTTTTAATAACAAGAACTCAAACGAGATAGCCCTCCTTAGGTACTGCACGAAGAGTCCAGCTTGCCTCCAAAACATATGGTATTGTATTGTCTAGCCCTAGCTAGTAATATTCCATTTCTTAATTCAATATTGTTCAAATCATCAGCTTTTACCTTAAAAAAAATGCTCATCGTGTCATGTTTTTAAAAGACTCCTGTCTTTAAAATACTGTGTCTTAAATCCATTAAGATACATGGATTTTTTTTTTTTTTTTGTAAATTACCTTTACCTTTCCATAAATGAAATTGCCTCCTTCACCATGATGGAGCCAGCTCGCTCTGCCTTCATGGGCTGTTCGGTGATGTCGTGCTCTCGCATTAGGAGGCAATCCCAGTACAGAGGAGATGTGTAACTGGAGAACCAAAAGTAGCCCAGCAGAAAAATAAAAAGAATCATAGAGAGGATGAGGGACCAGGGAAGACAGATCAAACCACTCAGTTTCGCCAAGGTGAGAGTGAGTGCAGCAATGGCAACCAGCTGCACACAAAACCAGATTTTGTTCTCAATGGCTAGTTCTGTGTCACGAGAGGGATCTGGCCAGCAGGGGTCGATCAGAGTGAATGGCATGCCGTAGAAGTAATCAAACCCATAATGATATGGATGATGGCACTGGTCATGTCGGGACTGGCAGTTTAAGCCTTCATGCCATTTGCCTGAAATTATAAAGAGACAAATAAAGCATAGTATGCTCGCACACCATGAAGACCACGTCAGTACTCTTCCTTCAAAACGAATGACTTGTGCACAAAAATGGAGCAGCAAATAGTTTTCTTTTGCCTAAAAATCTGAGTTTCTTCAGCACCCAATTCATCTTTTGCTCTCCTATAGTTCACAGAAATTTGTGTTAGGATCTGGTTGTGAGTGACAAGATAGGATGAAAAATCAAGGGAGGAAAATACAGTTGTGAGTTTGTAGTAAGGATGTAAACTGGGCAGTTTCTCATTCACAGAAAGAAAAAAATCATAGCAACAAAGATAAATACATGACAGAGACAGGGTAGATTATATGTGGTGGATAGATAGATGAGTAGGTAGATAATTGATATTAGATAAGGAGATGTATATGATATAAGATGGATGGACAACAGGGAGTATGGATAGATGATAGATAGATAGATAGATAGATAGATAGATAGATAGATAGCTGATAGATAGATGATAGATATGGATGAATGATGGAGGATGGATCAAGCATGGATGATAGATGGTTGGATCGTTTGCTGGATGGAAATCCCAGGTCTCCTACTAAAGTTCACTGAACTTTATTTGATAAAACTTGCCACACCTTGAAGAGTAACAAAAAGACCCATGGACATCCTGTTGGCATGTGGACTCTAAGAGAGTATGATCGTGTGTATCTACTAAAACATGAATGGTTCCCTGCGTGGAGTTAGGACTACATGAGGGATGCATGTACTCATATCTCTGAGCACCTGAGGGGGTAAACAGATGAGAAGCAAGGCTATGGCCCAGGTTTTTCTGTCCTGCACCTCCACTAAGATTGTCTTCTCTTATCAATGTGAAATTGGCTACAAAAATTGATTTAAAATGGCGTGCTATGGGAGAGATGGGGTGGCTGGGTGATGGACATTGGGAAGGGTATGTGTTGTGGTGAGTGCTGAGTATTGTGTAAGACTGATGAATCACAGACCTGTACTCCTGAAACAAATATTACATTATATGTTAATAATTTAAAAAATGGAAAAAGTGGAAGAAACTGAGGCCCTTGAAATAATTGTTGAACCCCAGAATTAACCAACTCTGGAATGACCCTACCCCAGATTTATTTTATGTGAGTTAATAAACGTATCAATGGCTTGAAAAAAAATTAAAAAGCAAACAGAAACAAAAAATAACAAAAGTAATGAGAGGGTACTAGTCTGCCATATTTTAAAATAATTAATAAAACAGCACATGTATTTAGCCTCCCAAAAAATAGTAAAATAAAATGACATGTTATTTTCGTGCCAATTGAAACCCAGGCTGTGAAATGGGGACAGTAAGTTTAGCTTCCAATGAGTCATCATTGGTTGACATCTATCATCTTTGGCAGTGAGAAAAAAGACATCCGTACAACATCCATGGTTCCATTTTAATGAAATAATGAGGTGGGCAAGAGAACTTATATTGAGAAAATATTCAAGCACAGAGATGCTGAATATTTGGACAAATTTGATTTTATTGTGCAACATTGGCATTAAAACATCTCATGTGTCTCTCAGCCTTGGAAAGAAGCAATTTCCCTATCTTTGAAATTATTCTCAGACATCCCTTCTGCCTGTAAGTTACCAATGATTGCATCAATGTGCAATGCAATTAAGTAGGGATCATGATCATTACCATCCCAATGCAATGCAATCTGGAGACTAAATGCGGACTTAATCATTGCCAAAGGGAGCAGCACAGTTTTCTCTTCTGCATTGACTCTCTTGAGCTGTGGGAGCGGTGAAAGGAGGAGCTAACCCAGGGGGACAGACTGGAAGCGGCCAGTGGAAACTTTCTGAGGCAACTGAAATGCTCCTTATCTTGATCTAGGTGACAGATACAGGGTGTAGACCTTTTTCAAAAGGCGTTTTTTTTAAATACATTTTTTTTTTCTATTTGGGTGATGGATATATGGTGGAGCCAAAAGTTGACACTCCATAAGAAGTTAATGATGCATAAAGCTACTTGTGTGTTCTTGAGAGGGCTCGTCACATTTCTTAAATCATACATGGTGAATGAGATGAAGGATTTCAGAGTCAGCAGAGAATAATGTAGTAAGACCATCATAGTATGGTGGGTTCTATGCAAAGATGAAGAACACAGGGTGATACAGAAACACATGGGGTGGCCATCTGGCAAGGTCTGGGGGTCAGGTGGGAAGGGGCCTCCTGTTGTGCCTGAATTATGTCTTAAAAGGATAAACAGGTGCCATTTAGGAAGGAGGGTGTGTGTTGGATGGGGAGGGTCATTCTGATAGTGGGTCCCAGGTGAGCAAAACACAACAATGAAAGAGAGTTCTGGAGGACATGAGGGACACGTTTACTTGAGAAAGACCATATAATATATTAAGCAGATTAATGTTGAAAAGTAAAGAGAAAGGTCAGAGGTAGCCAATGAAATGGCAGATGTAGAGCCTACATCATATGGAGGGTCTTCTCTGCCATAGCCAAGATGCACGCTTATTCTGAAATAAAGGATTTCCAAGAAAAGCATGTCAAGTAGAGAATACAGGGGCACCTGGATGGCGCAGTCAGTTAAGCATCAGACTCTTGGTTTCTGCTCAGGTTGTGATCTCAGGGTTGTGAGCTCAAGCCCTACGTCAGGCTCCATGCTCAACCCAGAGTCTGCTTCAAATTCCCTCTCCGTTCCCCTCTGCCCCTCCCACTAGTGCTCTCTCAAATAAATAAATAAATCTTTAAAAAAAAGAATAGAACAACACATATTATCTCTTTATAGTAAATAAGTCATGCCTTTGGCCACTTGTTACCTATGATCGCTGTGCTGTATCCTTGCTTTTTCAGTAAGGCTGCAAACGTCGTCTCGTTACGAGGGAGTCCAGCAGGGGCTCCAAGTGTGATGATGACACGGTCCACTATACTAGAAACCATTCCTAAGTGGGATGGAAAAACAAAACCAAAAAGTAATAGAACACACAGAGTAGATGAGTAGATGCCCATCAGCTGATGAGGAAGTGAGTTATGGAGGGTTCAGGAGCTGGAAGGTGCAAATGTAAGAAGTGAGGAACAGAAAATCATCCTGCAGGGGAGGAAAATTGTGTTCCCCAGACAGAACTCGCACTGGTCCTCACTACAGACCCCTTTACAAGCTTGCATGCACACACGCAACGCTACCAGCCACGCACAAACACACCATTCAAATAGTGGTCTACACATAGCCTCCAGCATGTTTATGATGACACAGGGTGTCATTTCAATAGACACTGGCGATTGAACATCTGACACAGGCTATCCTTGGCGGGGGAATCACCGTATTGGAAAAAGAGCCAAAAAATGAAATCTCGTGAAAACTTCAAACCCTACTGTTTCGATAATGGATTCTTTTTCTGACAATAGGTTTTTGTTGTATTTGTACAAAAGATGGATAAGCCAAGTGTCTGTCAAAAACATTGACATTGGGGCATCCGGGAAGAGTGGACACATAATTTTTGAACATCTCCATTCCTTCCCCAAAATAGAGCAATAAGAAAAGAAAACTGCTCATCCATGGACATCACTAATGACAAATCTAGGTGACAGGTAGATGGGGACATGTCAACCACAAGCCCAAGACCTACATTTTACAGAAAAGAAGCAGAAGAAAACAAACCAGTTTCTGAAGGATCCAGTAACCGAAGAACCTCAGAATAGCCATCAGGTGTTCCCCTGATGAGAAGCAAAAACAGAAGGACTTTTCCCAGTCCTACTGCTAGTGATTGAAGGTTTCTGGGTGTATTGAAAATGTTGGAGCAATCCGGCCTGAAGAACTCCCCAAACCGACCTATCCTGGCTTCCTTCCAAAATGGCGGCCCAACCTTGAAGCAAAATCTGGGAGTGGAGAGGAAATTGAATGAGACAGAACAAAGTGGGTGAAAAGAAAGAGAAATTCTAGATAAAAGCAAGAGAGGCAATTCGGGTGGAGACTTTCAGAGCGGGAGCTCCCACTGTTTAAATCCGAGATACAAGGAGGCAAGAGAAAAGTTTTTCAAGTTAGATTTGGTAACCATCCCCTCTACACGAAACCGTCTCCTTCGAAATGTTAGGGAAGCTAGTTTTACATACAGTGAGCAGCACAGAAAAAAAAAAAGGAGTCAAATCACCTATAAGTTTGCTATAAGAAAAAAAAGAATAAAGAATTTAATGTTTACCAGACCTGATTCAACTTAGCACCAGCTAAGCAAGATATCATCAACCTCACGGGATGCAAAAGGTTACGTGACACCCTCAAGGAGCTGGACAAGGGGCTTCTCGAGCTTGACTGAGAATTGGACATAAACCCTGACCTAAGAATTGTATGCTCTGCTTCCTCTTAAACTACAGAATCTATGCCCATAAACCATGGCCGGTCTGATCACCCTTGAAAATATAACCATATGGCCCATCCATTCCACCCCTTGGTAGGTATCCAAAAGACCTGAAAATACGTGTTGAGTCAAGGACATGTATGGGCAGGTACACGGCAGAACTATTCATAAGAGCCTAAAGCCAGAAGCAATCTAATGGTTGGTCAATCGAGGGATGAATAAACGAGACATATTACAACCATACAATGGTTAAAATGTGTGATAAATGTTTGAGACATTCTGGCAGGTCCTCCTCATGACACCCCAAATTAATGCAGATGCATCTTTTTAATTACTTCCTTCCAAGACAGCTTCTCATTCTTGCCCTAGGTTGGAAAGTCCCACTTAGCCTGATCACAGGACACTCAGGATACACAGTCAGCATGGGGTGAATAGACATAGCCGTGCGCGTGTGCGTGCGTGCGTGTGTGTGTGTGTGTGTGTGTTTGCACTTTTTTGGGGCAAATTTTTCTAAATGGACTAGCTACATTTTCATTTCCTCAAATCCTAGTGTGTCCACAGAGGGTAACAGAGGATGGTCCATCTACACACCTGATCGGATGGGGTATCTTCCCGTGAGGAAGGCAGCCCGGCTTGGGGTGCACATGGAGGCTGCAGCGATGTTGTGATTCAGCTGCACTCCTTCCCTGGCTAGGCGGTCAATGTTTGGCGTCCTGGAAAGAGAAACAGAAACGGAATTGCAGAGAGGAGGAGGGGAGACACAGAGGCAGAAACCAACACCTCAGTTTACGATGATTCCCTGAGCTCAGAACAGGAGAAAAAGAAACCGCACACAGCGCCCTATTTCCTTTTTCTCCCCACATCATGGAAAAAATACAGCTGAGGTTTTAGGTACTGGCAGTCTATTGCAGGGTTGCTATCATTTGCTTCTGCAATATGGTGTGTACTGAGTATATGGCACTGCCTTCTAAAATATATATTAAAAAACTTACGTGTCTGTGGACTGTTTAATTAAGGCTAATGACTTAGAGACCTTAGTTATGCCTAGCTACTTATAGGCACAAGGACGAGTTTGATGCACACGTTCCATAGACAGATGTCCCTGCTCTAGACAAAGGTTGCAACCCCTGCTTTGTCATTCCCTGTAAAGATACCTGGAGATTGGAGACCATCAGACAGACTTGTACAGAAGAGTTACTTGGCTGGATGCCAATAAAATGTAACGAGATCTAGTTTTCTTCATGAGACAGATGATAGAACAAGATGGAGTTATTAAAGTGTAGGATTCACACATCTTGCTGAGATGCTCTACTAAGCCGCAGTGTTGGCATGACATCAACAGCTTTTGTCAATGGCTTTTGTCGCCTACTATAGAGCCCTGACTCTGTTTCACATATGTTTTTTCTTCTTTTGGAGTGCCCGTATTTAAAGTAGAGGGATATCACCTTAAAAGTCTTCCAAAATTAGGAAGCATAAAATGACCAGTTCCACCAAGTAAAAGTATGCATAAAAATCATCACTCATTAGGGGCACCTGGGTGGCTCAGTCGGTTGAGCGGAAAACTCTTGGTTTTGGGTCAGGTCATGATCTCGGGGTTGTGGGATCAAGCCCTGAGTTGGACACCATGCTCAGTGGGGAGTCTGCTTGAGATTCTCTCTCTCTCTGTCCCTCCCTCGCTCTCTCTCTCCCTCTCTAAAATAAACAAATCTTTTAAAAACTCATCACTCTTCATAATATTGCATATTACAGAGGGTTCGCTATGCACCAGGTATCTACTCTAGATGCTTTGCACATATGAACTCACACCTGTATACTACCCACCTGTGCGCACAACCAACAAGAAAGATAAGCAAGGCACACAGAGGTTAAGTAACTTGCTAGAGATTTCACAACCAATAAGTGCAGACCCAAGAATCAAATCCAAATAGGCCTGATTTTAACATTATTTGCTTCTTTTACGGACAAGTTGCAACCCATGAATTTGGTTTTCCATGTGATGTAGTCATAAAACTTTATCAACCTCCCAAGCCCAGACAACAGATGAAATAACATGACTCAGCTGGAAGCCATACCTCATTGTGTCATTGCCATAGCAGCCCAGGTCCCCAATCCCAAGGTCATCGACCATCATCAGGACTATATTAGGCTTATCATCATGCTCCTCTTGGGACTGACATGGGTTTAAGAGTACACATATCCAAGACAGAGAGATGAAGAGGCTCCTGAAAAGCAAGCATGGATTTTATATGTTGATTTTGGGAGCTCTGTCCCATTGCAATGTCCCCTTTACATGAAAGCAACAGGGCTCACTGGAGACCAGGCACATCTCCCTGAGGAACAGCCGAGCCTCTCGAATTTCTATTCCCAAGCATTGGCTACTGTAGTCGAATGGGGCCCCTGATGCTCAAAGGGAGCCTATCCTGGGTTTCCTGCTCACATACACTGCATGCTTTTCCAGGAGGTGAGGTCTGAAATCGTTTACTCAGAGACAAAACATTTCTTAGGCCAGAGGTGATAAGACTTCTGAGGTCACATCCTGGGAAGAAGGAGCCTGCTGACTTTCCTTCACACCAGACAGAATTCAAACATGGGCAGGTGTAGAGCTTTGCCAAAGGGACATTTGGTTGGAGCAACAGACAACAACAGCAACAAACAGCAAAACAAAACAAAAAAAACACCAAAAACAAAACAAAGAAAAAGCAACCCTAGGGTAAAGGAAAAGGGTGAAGAACTGAATTCTGGAGAAGGAACAGCCTGGAATCTGAAGACCAGTCTTGTCCCCTTCATGATGCTGCTCAGTCCCAACCCAAGTCCCATTGTCTCAAAGAAATATACAATTCCCTTCCCACCAGATCCCTACTCAATTATCAGGTAATGAATATTAGACACTTGAACAGTTGGTTCAATCTCCATCTTGTCTTTATCCATATTTCAAAACCCACCTCAAATATCTCCTCCGGAAGGGAGGAGAGAAATGGACGCTGACCCTCATCTGCTCTCAGAACCCTTTGTAAACACTCAGAAACAATGCTGGCCACATGAGCAGCAACACTTTGCTTTTACCCAAACATATCCCCCCAAGACTGTGAACTTCTCAAAGGCAGGACCTATATGGCCAGGAATTTTCCCATTGCCAAATCATGATAATTACATGCGTGTTTTCATCTACCCAACATGGGTTGAATTGCTTTTCTCATGTTCTATTTTTACAATATTTCATTGATTTTCATTTTTGTCACTGAAGTGTAGTGAGCACACAGTGTTACATCAGTTCCCGGTGCACAGCACAGTGATTGGACAAATCTCTATGTTATGCTGTGCTCACACTGCAAATGTAGCTACTACCTGTCACCATGCAACGCTAGTAAATTACCTACAGCATCTTAAAATAATACGACTATGTTGGAAATCTGCAGTTTACATTTGTATCAGTTGCAAAGATATCTCCTATTTTATCATAGACTTACTGAATCCAGAATATCAATGTAGACATCTACAACCAACCATAGTTAGAAAATATGACCTAGAATGCCTGTTATCCATAAAGCTGAATTCACAGGTGTCCCCAGATTGTCCATTACATTCAACACATTTGCAAAATTGCTGACTACTTCCCTCACCTGGGCTTCATCACACAGCGCCGAGTGTCTTCCTATTTTCCTTGGCCAGAGATAAATTGTGCTGAAAAAAACAAAAACAGGCATTATTTTCATGTTAATGACAATAGTCCCCATTGTTAAATCCTCAGGAGATCACAAAGCTATATTTCCACTTCTGATATTTAAAATTCGTTTTCCAAAATCTGTCAAGACACAAACCTTCCACCATCAATGTCTCTGCCACTCTTAGTTTGTTTTTAAGGACCTCACACTGTGCCAAGTCCTGGGTCCACCGGCTTCTTTCTGCCTCTTAAGTCAACTGGCCCAGTCCCTAAATCTACCCAAAACACGTCTGGATGACAGTATCATCTTGAGGAGGTGCTGAACCTAAGGGCTTATATTCAGAACGTCTACATGGGATGAATTTGGGTCAGCTGAAAAGAGGTAATTACTTGAATGTATCTACCATTTTGGTTTTGCATTAGCATGAATCAACACCACCATAGAGTGATTTTAGGATAGTTAATCACCATATATCACGAGGGGGGGCTGTGATGAGTACATGGCATTACTGCAAAATTCATTGCAATGAAAGAAAACACTCATCTTTTGCCTGCAAACTGTCACTCATATAGGTACGTAAAATAATATTGGGGACATAATACGAACTACCTCCTTCATCAATCTGTCTTGTCCAAAGCAAGATGCCAGAGACCACAGAGAAAGAGCTATTGGCTAATACATGAAGGAAGGAGACAGAAAGGAGAGAAACTTATTCAAACAAACATTGGTTTGGATTCAACCTCTCAAAGCCTAAGCTGATCCATTGGGCTCTATAAAATAGTCTGCCAAAGGGCCTTCCAAAATCCCAACTCTGCCCCTGATAACAAACTAATCAAGAAGCAAGAAGAGTCAAGAATGTCTGTCCTATTAAAACTTCCTCGACTCACCTGTCACTGGTTTGGTCCACCGGTCATCCAGGACAAAACCAGAAGGCCGTCTTGAAGAACTCTTGCTTCTCCTCGACAGCTACCTGGACTCATTAGCCAAATGTCACCCTGCTGGTACCACCTCCCTCTGCAATGTGGAGGCTGGTCAATGCTCTGCCCACCCAGATGGTTCAGGTTTGTGAGACACAAATGAGGCAACCTGATTTGCCTCCCTGATTTGCATCTCCTTGTACAAACCCAGGGGGGAAATGTCATAGTCAGCAAAGCCCTTGGCACCTTCCCTGTAGTAACTGAGTGTTCTTATCTGTGACTACCACCAAAGTGATTCATCAAGCTGCTCTACTACAGAGACACAATCGCTTGAGTCTGGCCATTGCATTCTGATGACTTCACAAACTCCAGCATTGCCCTGGGGTGATCTGTACACCCAACCAAAGGAGGGGAAATACAGTCTCTCCCAAACTCCCAGGATTATTTCTCAATTCTGCTCAACAAGACCAACTATGGGGAATAATCTGGGGGCTCATGGATTTACTATTTGTCAACGCCATGCCCTAAATGGATTGCCATTAAGCAGCAAGTGAAGCACAGTGAGACAGAGACAGCCACCTTCCCACATAATGAAAGGATCTGGGTGTATAAGAACCAAGGCTTTTCATCCTACACACAAAGAAAAGCTCATGAACACCCAGTTAAACAAACCAGAGCAGTTTGCCTGGGGATTAGCCGCACAGATTCTCATTCTCCCCTTTTCCAGTAGAACATAGTTTTGTGGGTTTTTTTTTTTTTTTTTGAAATGGGATGTTTTATTCCAGATGCCACTGTGTGGTTGCATCAACTTTAGATACCAGATCCTGGACCATCAGACCCAAAATACAGATGATCCCCAGGTCATCTTTGTTCTCAGGGAGCTCTGCATGGGAATTGCATAAAAACACCAAAAAGCATGCATGAAGAAGTTCTGAACCCATTCTCTGGAATGAGCACCATGAAGAGTATACCAAGTTTTCATCCTGAACAATAAATTTTAAGGCATAAAAGTGTTTCCAAATACAGATTCCCATTACAGCTCCATAATCACCTGGTTTAAAGTCTCATTGGTGTGTTCATTCAATGGTTCTTCTCCTTCCAGATTCTGGGGGCTCTCGTTATGCAACCCATCTTTCCTTGTGTTGTGGGTTAAGTTTCTTAGGAAGTTACTCAGGCCCCTTACTTATCGTACCATAAAAGGTTTTCCACTCGTGTACATTTGTGCTCCCTGTTAGTAATTTGTTTCCATAGGATTTGCGCATCTTGGATATGTTTGGTACTTGTTGGCTGCCACTTTATGTTAATAAATGCAACTAAGTGACCACTGTCTGTCAAATTTCAAGTGTTGATTAATGCTACTTAATCAGTCATTGTTATGTAATGCAATACCGCTATCATAAGCAACCATCTTAAAGTCCAGAGACTAAACCATTGGAAGAAAAGACACAAGACGTTGGCCAGACTGGGGGCGTGTTTCTTGAGTTGTATTCATCCGATATGATCCTGTTAACGACGATTTGAAATCAACCCTGTCCTCAGATTGAGTGCTTGTGGAAATGAGTTGGAAAACCCTAAATAGGTACGATTTGGCACTTGGCCACTCTCCTCAAAAGAAATGCATGAATCTTAAGATATAAGCCTTAATGGACACTTGAACAGGACTTTGAGTACATGCGAACATTTGTGATCACGTTGGGCATGGTGTCCCTCGTGAAGATCAACGTCTTCCAAGAAAAACTGATAGGATGTCTGCCTTGTCAAAGTTGGGATTTTTTTTGAGAATGTAGATTGTGCCTATGGAACCAGGAGTTGCCTCCGATCAGAGGTAGAGTTAGATTCTAAACAGTCATTTGCTCACCACCGATGGTGGAGACCTTTGCCAGGCTCCTTAGACTCTCAAGTTCCTTTTCTGAATGGATGAAATCATGTTCGCACTTTCATGTGTACATATGCACTGTTATTAAGGGAACCCTCTCAAGGACTCTCCCTGGCCTCATCCACTGATAATTTCAGGTGTCCCCCGGAAAGGGGGTCATCATTCTCATCCTTCACAGGGATCAGATGCTGAAGACTGCATAATTCCATACCCAAATGATACGGAATCAGATTCTCTGGCCCTCCCTAGAGATGAAAGATGTGTTAGCCAGATAAGAAGTACAAACCCTATCCTGCCTTTCAAACAAAAACATGGCCTGCCAATAATCCAGTTTCAGGGAAGCCATAGCACACACATCGTTTTTGCAATGAGCAACACGCTAAGAATAGCCTTTATGGAAAAATGGCCAGGGGCACTTGGGTGGCTCAGTTAGTTAAGCATCTGCCTTCAGCTCAGGTCATGATCTCAGGGTCCTGGGATCAAGCCTGGCATCGGGCTTCCTGCTCAGCCGGGAGTCTGCTTCTCCCTCTGCCCCTCCCCCCAGCTCGTGTTCTCTCTATCACTATCCCTCTCAAACAAATGGATAGGATCTTAAAAATAAAAGAAAGAAAGAAAATGGTCAGACTCCCACCAGATGTTGGAGAACTAACTCTTCTGCCTTCAAGCAAAATTGCATTTGTTCAATGAAGTTTTAACAACGCTAGGGAAGCATTTGATATCTGCAGTAGATATCAAAGTTACAAGGCTGAGTCGGAATGGCTCGTTGCTCAAAAGAGAGCCTTCAATTCCAGGACAGGCGAGAAATGTGGAAATAACCAAGTGGAACAAAAGATCACAGAGGAACCCCTGAACGCATCCTCGGTTGAAACGAGGACACAGATGAGAATGTGCAAAGAATTCTTTTTATTTTTAATTATGTTAATCACCATACATTACATCATTAGTTTTTGATGTAGTGTTCCATGATTCATTGCTTGCGTACAACACCCAGTGCTCCACGCAGAACGTGCCCTCTTTCATACCCATCACCAGGCTAGCCCATCCCCCCACCCCCCCTCCCCTCTAGAACCCTCAGTTTGTTTCTGATTCCATAGTCTCTCATGGTTCATTTCCCCCTCTGATTTCTCCCCATTCATTTTTCCCTTCCTACTATCTTCTTCTTCTTCTTTTTTTTAACATATAATGTGTTATTTGTTTCAGAGGTACAGGTCTGTGATTCAACAGTCTTACACAATTCACAGCGCTCACCATAGCAAAGAATTGTACCTGAGATGATCAGAGGGGGATCTTGGAAAAGGTAACTCTTGGACTGAAGTCCTGACAGGGTGCATCTAAGTCAGGTCAGAAAGTGGGAGTTTGCCAGGGGAGATCCACACAACACAAGAGGAAATAAACCATAAAACGCTGGGAACTTGGACTTTGCTATGTGGAGCTTGGATTCTAGCTCACAGCAAAGGAGAGCTACTCCATGATTGATGATGGATTACTGAGTTTGCAACAACTATGTTTGAGAAAAGGAAAGCATCGATGGCAAAGAAAATGTGACAATTCAGATGTCATGGTTCCCTCGAGGGTATACTGTAGGACGGCATTTGTGTGTGTCGTGGTTCTGGACAAGTGTGTTTGATTCCTCCCCAGAGGCACAAGACGCTGAACCGTGGACAGGCTAAACCACTCGGGGCTGTGTCCTGTCTCCCATACACAACAGCTGGGGTGGGAAGTTTAGTACCCCAAAATACTGCTCCGCCTGATGTTGCTGCAGCCCCCACCTTGCCTTCCAGACCTGGATAGCGTGGAGAACAACATGCCTGTCTTCGGAGAGCACACAAAGGTGTGTTTCCTGCAGCCAGTACCCTCCACGTTAGCCCTGTCCACGCAGGCTCCCCAGGGCCACTGAAGGGATTGTTCTCTAGCACACACGCTGAACCCCACTCTCGCGGGGTTACCAGATGTAGTAGATAAATGCTCCCAGCTCATTTTGACTCTCAGTGACATGCGCCATATTCATTTTAGCGCCAAGTACGTCCCAAATACTGCACGGGGACTTCACACTGGGGAAAAGCATTTGTTGCTTATCTGGATTCCAAATCTAACTGGAACGTTTAGTGTTGGGCCTGACCCGCGAGCTACAGAGCGGTTTGCACGATTTACTGTATGGGTTAATGTGACACCCGACCTCACTGGGAGGAAGTAGACAAAGTCACACTGTCAATAATGGCCGAGACCACTCAATACAATTCATAAACATCCACCATTAAAAAACAAAACAAAACAGCAAACTGATGATAGAGTGTTTTGTTCTTTTTCTTTAGAAAGGGATGATATGTGTGTGTGTAAGGGTGTATCTGTGTGTGTGTATGTGTGCGTGCATATGTGTCTGTGCATGGATATGTGTTTTTGTGTGCCTCCGTGTCTCTCTGTGTGCACATGCATGGTATGTCTCTGTGTATGCTTCTGTGCATGTCTTTATATGTGTGTGTTTTGGTGTGTGTGTGTTGTGCATCTGTGTATGTATGTGTTTATCTCTGTGTGTTCACATGCATGTCATGTCTTTGTGTGTGTATACACGTGTGTGTGTGTGTGTGTGTGCGTGCACTCCTGTGCATGGCAGCATGGGCCAGCTTATGAGCACAATAGCAGAGGCAACTGCATTAAAATCCAGGCAGGGGTGTGGCATTGGCCTACTCTCCACTAATATTGAACTTCAGTTTTGGAGGCTCTGCCCAGTGAACCACATAATAACCACAAGAAGGAAAGGATAGGGTCTTGCTATTAATTATAAAAGAAATGTTCAGCTCGGAAAACCAACAGTCAATGGAAAGTCTGATGAAACTAATTAACCAAAAGTCTTAGGAATCTACACCAAAGTGATGGGTCGTGGTGTCATAGCCAACTACATGGTGTGAAGCAGAGTTAGTGATGGTCCCCAGTGCAGAGGGACAGACAAGGTGAGGGTGGAGAGACACCTGGGATGTTGGATCATCATGGCAAAAAGGAAACAAAAAGCATCACTGGTGCCATAAAACACGGATGCCATGGTTATGGGCTGGGATGGTGAGTTCCCCTTAGCTGGCATGCCACTCGCCCACGGGACAAGTCTACGTCTGCAGGGAGGAGGATGCGAGGCAGGGCAGGGAGAGGGGCCACATGCTCAGGCAGCATCCGAGCCTCTCTGGGGAATAGCCCAGAGTCCCTGCTTTCCAAGAATTCAACCCCTGTCAGCACCTCCTTCAAGACAGACCCGATCCACTCCACCACACCCCCAAAGACAAGTAA